CATGTTGGCTTGACGTCACCCCACGCTATTAGAGCATAAGCCTTAAGCCGTCGCATTGCAGCATGCCACAATCAGTAGGCTTGACAGTCGAAAACTTGTACATGCTGTACATGTGACACTTCTTCGGTATCTACCTAGCTATTTTGTACAACGTGCGTGAGTCAGCACGTAAATCAAAACTTATCGACAAATTCCAATACTAGAAATATTCATTATTTCTTTCAATAACCATAATGTCAAGAGAATAGTTATAAATATTTTGTAAGTTTACGAAATATATGTTTTTAAGAGAAACTTTTCATAATTTTTTAATATAAATATATGATATAATTCATTAAATTCTAAATAGGGAGAATGTTTTTTGCTAAATTTCTTGGAAATGCGTACAAGTTGCTAATAAGCAAAGTACGTATAAGTTATCTATAATGCAAAATGCGTGCAAGTTGTCAATGTGTAAAATACGTGCAAGTTGTCAATTTGCAGAATGCGTGCAAGTTGTCAATTTGCAGAATACGTGTAAGTTGTCAATGTGCAAAATACGTGCAAGTTGCTATTTTTATTTAATTTTTGTAATATACTCTAAATAATTAGTAACTTCCAACCTATAAATATTTCGATTTTTTATAATAAAATATTCAGTATATTTATTTCCTTTTTAACAAAATATTCAGTATTTATATATAATTTCAAACTACATCTAGTAAACTTTTAAGGGACATTAGCGAGTAAGCCTAACCTAGAATCTTGCATCGAAACAGGTTAAAAACATTTTCCGGCTTTTTGAGATCAGTAACTTACGGGTACATCAGACTACATCAAGTAAACTTTTAGGGGACATTTGCGAGTAAGCCTAACCTAGAATCATGCATCGAAACAGGTTAAAAACATTTTCCGGCTTTTTGAAATCAGTAACTTACGGGTACATCAGACTACATCAAGTAAACTTTTAGGGGACATTTGCGAGTAAGCCTAACCTAGAATCATGCATCGAAACAGGTTAAAAACATTTTCCGGCTTTTTGGAATCAGTAACTTACGGGTACATCAGACTACATCAAGTAAACTTTTAGGGGACATTTGCGAGTAAGCCTAACCTAGAATCATGCATCGAAACAGGTTAAAAACATTTTCCGGCTTTTTGAAATCAGTAACGTACGGGTACATCAGACTACATCAAGTAAACTTTTAGGGGACATTTGCGAGTAAGCCTAACCTAGAATCATGCATCAAAACAGGTTAAAAACATTTTCCGGCTTTTTGAAATCAGTAACTTACGGGTACATCAGACTACATCAAGTAAACTTTTAGGGGACATTTGCAAGTAAGCCTAACCTAGAATCATGCATCAAAACAGGTTAAAAACATTTTTCGGTTTTTTTGAAATCAGTAACTTACGGGTACATCGGACTACATCAAGTAAACTTTTAGGGGACATTTGCGAGCAAGCCTAACCTAGAATCATGCATTGACACAGGTTAAAAACATTTTCCGGCTTTTTGAAATCAGTAACTTACGGGTACATCAGACTACATCAAGTAAACTTTTAGGGGACATTTGCGAGTGAGCCTAACCTAGAATCATGCATCGAAACAGGTTAAAAACATTTTCCGGCTTTTTGAAATCAGTAACTTACGGGTACATCAGACTACATCAAGTAAACTTTTAGGGGACGTTTGCGAGTAAGCCTAACCTAGAATCATGCATCGAAACAGGTTAAAAACATTTTCCGGCTTTTTGAAATCAGTAACTTACGGGTACATCAGACTACATCAAGTAAACTTTTAGGGGACATTTGCGAGTAAGCCTAACCTAGAATCATGCATCGAAACAGGTTAAAAACATTTTCCGGCTTTTTGAAATCAGTAACTTACGGGTACATAAGACTACATCAAGTGAACTTTTAGGGGACATTTGCGAGTAAGCCTAACCTAGAATCATGCATCGAAACAGGTTAAAAACATTTTCCGGCTTTTTGAAATCAGTAACTTACGGGTACATCAGACTACATCAAGTAAACTTTTAGGGGACATTTGCGAGTAAGCCTAACCTGGAATCATGCATCAAAACAGGTTAAAAACATTTTCCGGCTTTTTGAAATCAGTAACTTACGGGTACATCAGACTACATCAAGTAAACTTTTAGGGGACATTTGCGAGTAAGACTAACCTAGAATCATGCATCGAAACAGGTTAAAAACATTTTCCGGCTTTTTGAAATCAGTAACTTACGGGTACATAAGACTACATCAAGTGAACTTTTAGGGGACATTTGCGAGTAAGCCTAACCTAGAATCATGCATCGAAACAGGTTAAAAACATTTACCGGCTTTTTGAAATCAGTAACTTACGGGTACATCAGACTACATCAAGTAAACTTTTAGGGGACATTTGCGAGTAAGCCTAACCTAGAATCATGCATCGAAACAGGTTAAAAACATTTTCCGGCTTTTTGAAATCAGTAACTTACGGGTACATCAGACTACATCAAGTAAACTTTTAGGGGACATTTGCGAGTAAGCCTAACCTAGAATCATGCATCGAAACAGGTTAAAAACATTTTCCGGCTTTTTGAAATCAGTAACTTACGGGTACATCAGACTACATCAAGTAAACTTTTAGGAGACATTTGCGAGTAAGCCTAACCTAGAATCATGCATCGAAACAGGTTAAAAACATTTTCCGGCTTTTTGAAATCAGTAACTTATGGGTACATCAGACTACATCAAGTAAACTTTTAGGGGACATTTGCGAGTAAGCCTAACCTAGAATCATGCATCGAAACAGGTTAAAAACATTTTCCGGCTTTTTGAAATCAGTAACTTACGGGTACATCAGACTACATCAAGTAAACTTTTAGGGGACATTTGCGAGTTAGCCTAACCTAGAATCTTGCATCAAAACAGGTCAAACTACTTTTGTAGAAAAATATTGTTTTTGGGTTTTTAGGAATGACATATATTTATTCTATTATTTATTTACATGACATGGTTTAAATACAACATTTTTATTTTTTTAAGTTACATTTTTATTTAAAATAAAATTTCTTACATTTAGCTAATACAATTGAAATAAATTAATATCTGAAATCTTGCTTGCTTTCCAGTCGAGGATGCTTTTCACGAGATAGTAGTGTCGCTGTCATAACACCTTCGCGATTTTGCTCTAATACGCGTTTTGATACATTAGCCAGTAATTGAACATGTCTCTCAGTTCCCTGAATGTGGACCGGAATTCTAGGGTCACTCCATGGACACTCATTGCTTTGTAGATATGGTACTAGATGTTCATGAGGAATATTTAGCGTAAAGGCTGGTTCGGATATATTTGAATAATCATCCATATCTATCATATTAGTATAGTCGGTGCATTCGAAATTTGTTCGCGCCAGAATCATGTTAGATGTCGCCAGTTGATATTGGTAATAATCAGACAACACCTTTTCTCTGGCAATCCTAAAAGGTTTGGACGTAATAGCTGATCTGACGGGTGAACAAGCTCTCTCGCGTTGTCTGGTCACGTACACCGTTTTGCTTGTGCTTTCCATATGAGTTTTTTGTGATATATTTCGATCATTAGTTATTACTTTATGAAATAAATACTTTTTAATCAGTGCAAGTGTTCCTTATTTGTGTTTGGAGTTCATTTCTTCCTCAGCATCCGAATTTATAGCGAACTGAGATATCCGAACTTGAAGCCGCCATCCGACTGGGCCGCCGAGCACGCAGAGAACGTCGAGTATTTTACTTAATATATTCAATAAGATCAAATCCTCGGAATAGTTATTGAGTCAAATTCAATTAGCTATTCCGAAAGGGTCTAACTAACCCGCATCCGTAACATTGGTCCTTCGAGCCGGATCATAATTTTGATTAGGATTTATTGAATATATTGAGAAAATAAAATCCAAGATGGCACCTAAATTTGACGTGGGTGCAGAGATTGACCGAATGACAGCGAAGAGCGAAATGTATTTTTCAATAATGCAAGAAACTTATGACCTTTCTCAACAAATTACCACCAATACGGCAAGTAAGTTAAAATTTCTTGAAAAACTACACCTTATTGAAAATGCACGAGAACAATGCATAAAATTAAGCGACGAAATAAACAAATTAAGACATTTAGAGGATCCGAGTTTTGTTCCTGAGTATGCCGACATAAGGGCCTTGGAAATTTTGTACTCAAAAATCAATATATAGAAAAAATGTTGGATAATCAAAATATAAGTAATTCGTCAATACCGGACAGTGTTCCAAATCATCATTTACCATCCATAGAAGTTCCAAAATTTTCCGGCAATATACAACAATGGCCTTTATTTTATGAAACCTTTAAAGCATTAATTCATGAAAATACAAGATTAGATAACGTATCCAAATTTCATTTTTTAAAAGGTGCGTTAGAAGGTTCCGTACTAAAAATTTTTAATTCCATACTACCAACTGCAAATAATTATCCGATTTTATGGGAAGCACTATTAAAAAAATACCAGAATAAACGATATTTAGCCACCACTTACTTTAAACAGCTCTTATCGTTTAAAACCATTACATCATCACAAATAGACTTATTTCTGGAACAATTCGATACAGCTGTACAAGCCCTTTCACAATTAAACCTTCAAGATGCATTTGACTTTATGATAACGTCTATGGCATTCTCAAAACTCGATCCCATTTTGCAGGAGAAATTTGAGCATTCTTATCAAGGAGAATTTCCTAAATACCAAGATCTCCTCAAATTTCTCCATAAGTCGCAACAAGCGAAAAATCAAGTTTATGGTATGACAACTATAACTAACAATCACACATATGGTGAGCAAAAGGATAAAAATTCCAAAATTAGTCAATCATTTCTTTTAAAAAGTAAATACGAAAAGAAGTGCTTTGTGTGCCGGGAACAACACGCCATATTCGCATGTTCAAAATTACTAGAAATTAATATTCCTGAACGGCAAGATTGTATAAAAACTTAAATCTATGTGTGAATTGTTTAAGCCATA